TGGAGGAAGGTGAATTTTCTGAAGCACGTGAAGATTTAGCCGCGTTGGAGAAGGATTACGAGGAAGTGGGAACTGATTCACTTGAGGGTGAAGAAGAGGAAGCTGAAGAATATTAAGCTCGAAATTACAAAGTTGTATTTTTTTTTTCTTTTATAGTAATAATTGGGACCTATGCTGTTTTTTAGTAAAAAAAAAATAAAATAAAAAGACATAAGAATCCCATTTTACTCTTTGTAATTTTTAAGCTGTTTAGTCTTATTTTTTTAAAAAAAGTTTGGAGTAAATTTATTTTTATTAAAAAAAAATTATATTTTTTTTTGTGACTTGGTGGTCAAACAAATAAACGAATTCAAAATTTTTTTTTTGTTTTTGTTTGCCACCATTAGGTCACTAATTTTTTTTTTTTTTCTTATTTTTATCCTCACATCTCTCTCTCCATTTGGTGCTGAGAGGTCATCACAGAAATCTTTTATATTTCTTTTCTTTTAATATTTTTCACAAAAAAAAAAAATTGTGATGAGCTTATTTTTTTAGCACATTTTTGTAAAAAAAAAAAAATAATAATTTTTTACTCCACTTTTTCGATTATGATAGCCTTTTAAGACTCGTAGGCCAATTTAGGGTCTTTTCGTTCATGTTTATTAATCTAAACTTACGAAACCTAAGTTTAATAAATATTTTACATATATAAAAATTTTTTTGGTTGGTTAGTGCATTTCAAGTGATTTTTTTCTTTCAAAAAAAATATTATCATCGTGGTGAAAATCTTTGCCGATAAATAATGTTTGATGATACTTTGTTAAATTTTATTTTTGTTTTTATATTTATTAATCTTTGGACAAGACACAGGAAACAAAACTAATTGAGACCGTTTTCAAATCTTAAGTAATACAAGTTTCTAAATATACAAGACCAATGTGCATGCATTCTGTTACTTTTAAAATATCTGTGTCGTGTATTATTTTATTAAAACGAGTTCTATACTGTATATAAAGATGTAATAGATATATGCTTATTATTTTTTTGCCTTTATTTTCTCTTTAACAAATGGTAAGAAATCTCGTCCATCCATATATGGACGAAGTACTTCTGGTATAATCACCCCCTAAAAAATAAGTAGATAACATCATTAAAATAAATCCAATTATAAAACTTTATTTTTTTTAAAAAAAAAGAAAACGCATCAAAAACTTACATCAGATGTTTGATAATTTTCCAGTATACAGCATAAAGCCCTTTCAGTAGCACACAGTGTAGCATTTAAACAATGCACATATTTCTTTTCACGATCGCTCATTTTTTTAATACCACACCTAATTTCTAATCTTCTAGATTGATAATCAGTGCAATTAGAACAACTAACCAATTCTTTGTATTCTTTTTGAAAAGGAAACCAAGCTTCCAAATCATATTTTTTTGCAGCAGCATTGTTGAGTGCTCCTGATACAATTGAAACTATTTGATAAGGTAATCCAAGCGATTGATAAAATTCTTCTGAAGCGTTAATCATTTCATCAAATTGTTCCCAAGATTTCTCAGGTTCTGTGATAACAAATTGTTCAACCTTTTCAAATTGATGTACTCTAAAAATTCCCCATGTATCCTTTCCGTGTGCTCCAGCTTCTTTACGGAAGCATGTAGAATATCCAGCATACCTTAAAATAACAGAAGAAAACATTTATTTGGATTTAATGTACTAAAATTGTAAATGTAATGATAATAATTTGATCTAGCTCACTTTAATGGTAATTGTTCTGATGGTCGTTCAAACCATTCGTTAGCATGAAACGCTGAAAGAGGTTGTTCTGAAGTGGCAATTAAGTATTTATCATCCTTCTCTTCACCCTCTCCAACAACCTACTCCAAATTTAGTATGATATCATATGTTATAAAACGTAGTTAATGTCAAATTGACACCGCAATGATGTTTATTACCTTATATAATTCCTCATCAAATTGTTCCAATTGAGCTGTTTTTGCCATATATTCTCTTCTCATAAAAAATGGCGTCTGCAATTTTTTATACCCTCTCTTCCGCAAAAATGAAAGTCCATACTGTATGAGTGCCAAATTAAGATCCACTCCATCATTTGTCAAAAAATAACCTCGATGACCGGCAATATTTGTTCCTATTTAATTGCGATAAATTATTACATGCATAAAAATCCAAACTATGCATAAATATTCATAAAGTGTAACTATATAAACATTACTGATATCTCGTAAAAAAAAAATTAAAAAAAAAGTACGCGAATACCTCTCTCGGGATCATATCCATCAATTCTGTACAAGACTTCATGATGCGAAAGGATACATGTTGCCTTAACAGGTTTATTGGCACCATCACTACTTTCTGCGTCCTCCGATGGTTCCCATTTTCTAATAATTTCATTATTGGCTTCATCTAATGAGGTAGGAACGGATTGGTGTACGATGTTACCTATAGTAGCAGCTTTGACTTTAAGTGATTCTTCCTTCTCTTTTTCCAAAGCGGAAAGACGCACTTTTTCTGAATTGAGAGATTCCTTTTCCGCAACCAACGTTGACGCATCTTCTTTATTCTTAATAATTACAAGTATGTATTATTGTAAATGCACGTCAATGAACAATTATAATAGAACGTGACTAATGATTGAGTTGAATCACCTTTTTTTTCAAAGTGATTTCCTTTTGAATCGCATTTTGTTTTTTGAGGATCTGATCTAATTCAAATTTTACTTTTAATTTAAATCAAAAAGAAATAGTTAGTTGAATTTCATCCATAAGATATTTCACTCGCAAATTATAAACAAATTGCTTCCAAGTGCGATACGTAATGAACATTGAACCACCTTTTCGCCATTCATCATACATATTAATAATTTGGTCAACTAATTCAACAGAACCTCCTCTTCTTCGTTGAGATTCTCGAATGAGTTCTGGGTTACCTCCTTTATCAACTTGAAAAAGATTAAGGTCCAACATTTTCTTTATTGAAAAACTTGTAAAAGTTGGGTGCTTTTTATGTCAAAAAATTTGATGCTCGTGTCACCTTTGCTGCGGTTAGATCATGGATATGCATGACATTAAAGCCGCCTTAATTTCTACTTACTTTCCTAAGTATTAAGAAAAACAAATAAAAAAAAAATGTCATCAAACAGTCAACCCTCTCAAATTACCTACGACACCAAATTTATATTTGAAGAAACTCGAGGTGATTTATTTAATGATGCACCAGAAAATTCAAGTTTGGCTCATTGTGTATCAGCTGATTTTAAAATGAGCAAAGGTATAGCTAAAATATTTAAAAAAAAGTTTAGCACACGAGGATTATTTGATCAAAATAAAAAAGTTGGTCAAGTCGCAACACTTTATAGAAATAATCGATATATTTTTTATATTATTACAAAACAAATATTTTCCGATAAACCTACAAGAGAAGATTTTGTATTGGCTCTCAAGGATTTAAGAAGAGCTTGTGAAGATAAAAATGTTAAACTTTTATGTTTACCTAGAATTGGGACTGGGTTGGATAAACTGCCTTTGGAATTCGTGCATCGAACTATTATAAATGTATTTGATGGATATGAAATGAAGATGATAATGTATTACTTGTGAATTCGGGAATTTTGTAATTTTTATACTATATCTTTGGATAAATTATATAAACGTTATTACAAGTCACATGATAAACCTTGGATCATTAGGATGTTAAAAATTTGAAAGGTTTCATTTGAATAAATATCGTTTGGGCTTGTACGTAAATTAGATTTAATAAATATTACATTTTCTATAAGAAAAAAAAAAATAAAAGAAGAAACTTTAATCTTATTTATTATCTTGCAAAGATGATATCAATGATAATATGGAAAGAATAAATAAAAAGTTGTGAATTTGAGAAATCTCTTGTGTGTGAACTTATAAAATCGTTATTTCCAATACAATTTTAATGTGAAGCTGTTTGTTTTATCGCTTTTCTCGAAATAGCAACTTCTTGCGATTCTGGTGCACCACTAACACGAATATGATTAAATTTGGGCAAAACTTCTCGAAGATAATCCAAATGGCGTGTATGTAAGCTGGAAAGTTGCTGTTTAAAATGATTTAATATTCATTTTTTAATTAGGAACGGCTAAAGAATATTTAAAAAGTAAAATTAAAAGGATTTACATTACATTGGCTGACGCCGTTTGAATTCGTCTGTTGTGATGATCGCCAAATATAACAGTATTATCCGAAATGTTTTCATCCTCTTTGGTCGAACATACAGCTCCAACGACACAATTATTACCTAGGGATGTACTGCCCAAGATTCTTGCTGTTTTATGTACCAAAAAAGGAAAGTTAGCAAACAAAATTATAAAAAAAAAAGATTTTTTTTTTATTTTCCTTAACTTACCTTTTGCTTCTATTATATTCTTGCTTCCAATTTTCGATCCTTCAACATCTATAATCAAATGTTAATGCGATTGATCTAATAGCACAAAATTCTAATTTGCCAAAATTCAATGATCTTACAACATCCTACTTCGAATACGTTATCATCTCCAATAGTTAAAGCAGTAGGTAACCTAAAATTTAAGATTTGCAATAAGAATTGTTTAAGCGTTCGTGTGAGTCTTTAATGTAAAAGAGAAATGAACTTGGGTGTTTTAAAGTAGAAAGGGAGGAAGAAATTGCCGAAAAAGAAAAAAAATTTTTTTTCTGGCACTTTCTATTGCAAAGTGACCAAGTTACCTACTTATTAAGTATCGTCACATTTTCCTCAACAATATTATTCTGACCAATAATAATTGGACCTCCTTCAGAAAGAATTTTACACTGAGGGTGTAAAACGGTGCCTATATATATATATATATATAATATATATATTTTTTATATAAATTAATTATAAAACTTGAGTGGGAAAAAATTAAACTGTACTTACCAGCTCCTATTATTGTGTTTTGCCAAAAAATCGGACAAAATAGTTAGCTAATTTTCCAAGAAGATTTCTATATCCTAATATACGGTGTCGTTTCTTACCAATTTGGATTTCACCTTTCAGTTCGATGTCTTGACAGACAACCGCACGTTTACCAATATTTAATACGTGTTGTTCTCTATATAAAAGAAGTTATTCATTTAACCTTAACTTGATAGACTAGAAACTCCAACAAAATATTCAAATGTTCTTATCTCTCGAAATGTCAAATATTTACTTTGGCATCTTGACTTTAACGAATAAATTAAATATAAAGTTATACTATTTAATTAATCAAAAGATTTTATTATCAACTTTGTTATTCTAAACATTAGCAAAAGAGAAGAATTGAAAATCTAAATTTTTTCTAAAGCTGTTAGTTGTTTGTTTGCGCAGATCATAGCTTTGTTTGGAAAAAAGTAAATTTAACGAATAGGTTTTTCTTGGCAAATAATATATTATTTTTTCAGGTTTGATTATTCCAAATTTCCTAAATTTATTTATTTTTTCTTTAATAGGGTAATCAATCATTTTGGGGTATATACTACACGAGTTTTCGGAGTTATATCACCTTAAACTCCTTGTCATACATTATGAAGGTAAAAGAACATCAGGAATATTTTAAGTTCAAATTCAACCAACAATCCGAAGATCTTCTACAAATTGATGGACATGAACATGTCGATTATGATTAATTCAACAGTATTGAAAGGACTAATCGGGGCAAATTCCAATGCAAGTTGGCGTGGTACTCGAGCGAGAAATTAAAAATTATTGAAATGAAACAAACAACTACACAAAACACGTTCTCAATTACATTTATTGGAGTGGATGAATTTTTGTCATGATGGTTTGAGCGACAATCTAAAGTAAATCCCATTATGATGAGAACAGACCCACCTTGTAAAATACCAAGAATTTGTTGGTTGAATGATGAAAAGATCATCAAAAGAAAATTTCAAATTTTTCAGGAAATAGGGTTGTCATAAAAAGATGTTTCACAATATATTTCAACTTGTTACTGAATAAATACAATTCATCTCTTGAGACGCTTTTGACAAACATTGCATATCAAAATAAAGTAAATGTATAAAAGACATGTGGTCAATAAATAACGTGCCAAGCTATATCACTGTCTGAGGAGATGCCCTGCGTGAGAAATTTCTTCAAAGGTTTTAATATATACAATTTTTATTTATCTTTAACTGGAGGATCAGATCTTACCAAAAAAAGAAAAGAACTACAAAGTCACCCCCTCACTATCAAAAAGATACTTTTTTTTTGCAACTTAGAAAAAAATATTTTTTAAAAAATAAAAATATAATAAAATAAAAAAACCACAAAACAAAATCCAATTCTGAATTTTTGAGGCAATTTAGATTTAAATTAATTCTCCCCGGGTTTTTATCACAGATATCAATATATTTTTTCTAGAATTAATTGTTGGTTCGGCCGCATGTCAATTACATATTTGACAGTATTAAAAATTTATAATATAATAATAATTGGGTTTCTACTGTGTAACCAAACAACGTTACACGTCATGTTATTTCACACCCCAAAATATCTGATAAATAGCCGTTATTTTTAAATCTCTCAATTTTCTCACCTTGCTTTTTTTTCCTTTGAAAGCGGTTGTTCGTTAAAGGTATAACATAAAGTTTTTGGTAATACCCTATTCTTTTATTTCATACTCTCTTGAACGTTTGAGGTCACTTATAGACGAAAACGTTCTTTTGTACAATTGTAAATTTGTAAATTTGTGTAGGTAGGAACTAAAAGAACAATTTACAAACCTGGTTACTTACACAATGTTAATACTAAGATCAACTTGTTCATAATTTTCTTATTCATTAGGTTACGGCAGGATATAATTAATTAGTCTTGTTAATTATTTATGAAGCAGTGTCTCAAGTCTTCTTATATAGCATTTTATAATTTCCCATAATAAGTAAAATCGTGTTTATCAGTTTTATATTAGTTTATCCGTTCCATTTCGAGGCAGGAGAAAATTTTTTTCTTGTATTAAAAGCTACTACTTTCTGTGAAAGTTTATAGAGTCATAATTAATTTCGGAAAGCAAGACAATCTCGGAATTTCTCTCTTCAATGATTACTCTCACAAAAACAGCAGTTTACACCGAACATTGTCGAAGTAGTGTGACTGACGAATCGTTTTTAACCGGTATGGCATCAATATCAAACATCACGCTTCAAGCAAATAACCAATCAAACATAACCCGATCGGAGAACTTATCAAGGTATTTATTTATTCTTAATTCCTTTATTTTTTTTATGTAATTGTGTCTCGTATGTGATATTTGGATATTTCAGACTGAATATCCATCACTCATATACAGCTAACAGCTACCGAATGAAACTGCCAATTCAGTATCTGCTATCCAAGTTTGTACAGTTTGTACACACCTTTTTTATCATTCAATAAACAAAACTTCTGATCAACTTTTTTATATAAACTAAATATGGTAATGTAGATCAAACTTGTCAAATTCTTTAAACAATCATAATCTTTGCTCAGTCGGTTCATCTGTTGTTGACGTTCCCGGTATTAATTCAGCACCACCATCCCCAAGTTTAACTATGTCTATATCTGATTCCCCAACAATAAAGAAAAAATTATCAGGATCATCATTAAATAATTCATATGAGGATGATTCATATTCGTCATTAATTGAGAATTCATCAATACATAGTGGAAGAAAAACTTCTTTATCTTTAAATCTTTTCAAACCTTCCTTAGCTGATTATAGTATACCGATTCCTCCATTTAACGTCGAAGATAATACTCCGATTGTATCGCCAATATCTTCAAATTCTTCACATCCGGAGACATCTTCGCAATCACCATCGTCAATTGTAACGGATTATTTTAGTTCTGCACACAAAACATCAGATAGAAAGAATGTGAAGATCGAGAAGCTTGAACATTATAATGATGCTTCTAAATCAGAAAATAATTTCTCAGACGATGACGACAACGACGATGATTTTACAGATGATGATGAGGAGGAAATCAATAGTTTTTTCAATGATCCTTCGTCCCCACCTTCAGTTCGATTGATGCCATTTGCTAATCAAGTTGGAGGTCACACATCATTTTTTAGGTTTTCTAAAAAGGCTGTATGTAAACCTCTAGTACCCAGAGAGCACCAATTTTATGAAATTTTAGAAAAATTGCATCCAGATCTTTTACCCTTTGTACCTCGATATCTCGGAGTCCTTAATGTCACTTATCGATCTCAGAATGGTGAATTAGGGTCAATGCCCGAAGTAGTATTCAAACAAAATAAACATTTACTACCAGAATGGATGCTTAATAAAGTGAATTCATTAGACAAGAGTGTAGATGATGATCACTGTTCAGATAAGGAGAACGAAGATAATGGTGTTTCTTCTGGTGTGAGTTTTAAAGGCTTATATTCATCAACCACAAAGATTAACAAACAATTAAAGGAAGAAGTACTTAGTGAGGTGTTTTCACCGAAAGCACTACGAGCTCGTATGCGTCAAGTAAGATCCTTAGAAAAAGAATCATCTATGAAGAGGAGGCATTCAATGATAAACATTTCTGCTCTAAAGAAATCCGATTCTGACATTAAATCGGAAATGTCGAGGAGTTTAACAGATATTAGTCATATCAAGAATAATCCGAAAAAATCTCGTTCCACCTCATTGAGAGAAAATTTGTTGTGTAAAAAAAGTACAATCGTTTCTCCAATGTTCGATGATCATGATGACGTTTCCTCTAATGAATTTTCAGAACATTGTGAAATGCACAACATTTATCAGGAATCAACCTCTGCGTTGAAAGAAAATCAATCAATTTCTTGTCAAAACTTGAACGTTCAACCTTCTTTATCTCCAAAGATAACACCCCAGACCCTCTCAGAATCTCCAACAATCTTTAAAATGGAAATGTTTGAATGTGCAACATCACTAGACACTTCTACGAATCTTCATCGTCGTCCCTCCAAGAGGCGTCTTATAGAAACTTTGGATGAGGAGCCAGCACCAAAATCAACACCATCAACGCCAATATTAACACCAACACTGACTCCACCATCGACACCTGACAATAATTTTGCAGAAAAGGCGAACAATCCATGGTCGTTGCATTGTTATTCCACTCAACTTTCCAAACTACAAAACTCTAATAATGATTTGGACCAAGTTCAACAATTCGTCTTGCTTGAAGATCTCACGGCGGGATTAAAGTACCCTTGTGTTTTAGACCTCAAAATGGGTACTCGCCAACACGGAATTGATGCTTCACCAGAGAAACGCAAGAGCCAAATGAAGAAATGTGCAAAGACCACAAGTAAAACGTTGGGGGTAAGAATTTGTGGTATGCAAGTAAGTTATCAAATCGATATAAATAAAATTAAAATGATTATTTATTTTGTTTTAGATCGTTAATTAAAGAAGTTTTTTTTCTCAAAACGTAGGTATACAAGACTACCACACATAGCTTTAAATTCCAGGATAAATATTATGGTCGATTCCTGAACCCAGATACTTTCCATAATGCATTAAAGGATTTTATCCATAATGGAAGCAAATTATTGGTTCATCAGATTCCTGTCATTCTTCGTAAACTCCGAAAGTTGGCTAAAATTATAAGGAGTCTTGATAACTACCGATTTTATGCAAGTAGTTTATTATTGCTGTATGACGCTGATGAGAATAATCCACGTGACATAGACATTAGGATAATAGATTTTGCTCATTGTACCACGGGCAATGATTATCTTCCCAGTGAATCTAGATATCCACCAAATGAAGGTCTTGATAAGGGATATTTATTAGGGTTAAAAAATTTATGTAGATCATTTGAAACCATATATAAAGATTGTTGTGGAATAATGCCCGATGTTGGTGAAAAAGAAGATGATGTATTCTCTGACATTTGTTCTTATGACACATTGGGATTTCCTGAAACGAAATCTCAACAAAATCCCGAGTTTTCTGAATGATTCAAATTTGATAGAATAGATTCGTTTTTTTTTTTTAAAAAAAAAAAAAAAAAAAAAAAAAAATAAGGGGGGAACCCAACGGGCTTGGGAATAGAATATTATAAATTCCTATCTCTAGAGTTCTAGTCCATGACCTACCAAAGGGCCATCATAATTAATATTAAGCATAAACAAACTGAATTCGCTTTTGGAGATGGTGGCTAATCAAAGATTGTGATTCGAGTCAAATTAAATAGTACATGACCCTTTACAAGGTTTTGTTGGATTGTTATAATCTTTATAATCTTTATCTTTTAATCAACAAAATTTTTTTTTTTAAAAAAAAAATAATTATTATTATTACATTTTTTCACGTAATTCAATTTTTCATTATTCAGTATATTAATCGAGTGGAGGGAGAGAAAATTAAACAATTTTTTTTACATTCTATTTCTTTGTAAATTTTTTTTTTCCTTGTCAAATAAACATAAAATTCTCTTTTTTTTTGTCAATTAAATTCCCCTTATAACGAATTAAACATTTGATATTTCATCTTTTTGTATATAATCTTTTGTAATTGATTTACTGATCCACATACATTTTTTTTATAATCTATGTATGTTTAATGAATAAAATTTCTAATATTTTGATAAACAAAAAGCTTACGTGAAAATTAATCAATTTTTAGACAAAATAACTGATATATATATTTACAATTTAAAAAAATAATAAAAATAAATTTTATCACTATATTTAAGATGTAGCGAGACGTGTAAACATAATATAAATAAAAGAAATTTGTATAAGAACAAGAAGTCATTTTTCCTTAAAATTTATTACAAGAATGTCAACAATTTAATTATAATGTCTAAATATATGTTCCAATAATATCATTGTATTTATTGAATAAATAATTCAGGAGTTTCATTCTCCACAATAATAGCAGTTTTCTTTACATTCTCATCCCATTCTTGTAATCTTTGTCTCATACCATCAATTTGAACTAAATCTAATACACGTGGTTGAACCCATGTTACCATGACCTCTTCTTTAACTTGATCAATTGATCCACGAATTAACTTAAGTGCAAGTGCTTTCATAATTAAATATTCTACCTATTTATTAAGGAGGAAGAAAAAAAAAAATGAAATGAAATGATTAGTAAAAAAATTATACCATATATTACACGCTATAAAACGATAAATGAAAATGATCACATTACTTCTTCAGGAGGCAATAAAGTTACAGAGCAAATAGATGTAAATGAAATGGTTCTGTTATCTGAACTCCTCTGAAACACGGCTTCGATCAACGACATCAAACAAATTTTTTGGCGTAAAAATACAATATTTTCTTGTAAGAATTGCTAAGATTAAAAAATGTTAAAATATTAATAAATTTAACGATTTAGATATAAAACCTTGATTCATTATAGTAGCAAATTTTTTTTTTTTTTTTGTTCATAATTCTTACCAGTTGAATAAAATTCACTGACAACATTTCGAACTTCTTAAGATCTCCTGCATTATACGCAAATAATAGATTCCTAAGCCATTCATGAGGAGTTCCTGATAAATCATCCAAAATAGGATGCATCAACTAATTTAATGTATTCAAAAAATGATGATTAGGCGGTTACACATATTACATATAATAATTCACCTCATAATAAAAGATTATTAAACCAACCAATTCGCCAAAGTTATAAATAGTTTCTCCCATAAGCGCACTAATTGCCAAATCATAAGCTCTATTGGTCTTTTCAACTGGTGTCAAATCATCAAGATTAATACATGCCAAATAAAGCAAAGCATTCTTATAGAATTCTGGAAAATTTGCTTTTGCCTAAATTTTTAAAAGTCAAGAAAACTAAATTCATAACTTAATGATTTCTCGTTGAAATATTAATGATTTTGTGATAGCTTAAGATTTGCAAGTTAAATTTATATTATTTTACCTTATAATATTCAGCAGCAACTCTATAAAAGCTAGCATGGATAACGGTTTCCACCGAGTCAAATTTATCGAGAATTTTTTCACATTTATCAATGGATTCTTTTGTTCCCTCAAAATCATTCAACATTAGTTTTATATAAGCCGTTTCCATTACAGCATGAACATATGCATCACGCGTATCGGGTGTGTCAACTTTATCTACAAGAGACGTTAGGAAGGCTAATGCCTGATTACGATCTATAAATAAGTAAAAGTGTAAGATGATTATGAGAATTGTTTAAATGCTCAACGAAATCTGCCTAAATTTTCTATATCAGCTTACCCTCAAACTGTTTCACGACAGAAAGACCCAACGTTACTAATTTAAGTTTATTCATCTTGTTCTCCCAATCTGATATAAAGTGTTGGAACAACGGTACTTGAAACGGACCAGAAGCCGGTATCGAAAAAAACTCTTCAATCTTAATGGTAAGTTGGTGCCATAGCTTTCGATCGTAAATGTCTTCGAATGTGTTTAGATATTCTTGTAAGTCAGGTGGACACTGCTTACGAAGCTCATTCAAAGTCTCTATTGGACTTTGATCCAAATCCATTCTTGTGTCTTGTTGATATGAGGCCATAGTAACGAAAGTTTGCAAATTAAACTATAATGAATTTCAGTTTTTTTTTGAAAATTTTTTAATGCGAATTACGCAAGCAAGTTAAATTTTCCTAACCAATCATAAATAATTATTATTTACAGTTAGATCAACGATCAACAAGTACGACAGAAAAAATTTATCTAAGTTCTCGTCAACTGAGCCATGTGGAAGGTTGATGAAGCCTAAAATGTGAATCGATATTGAGTATTCGTTGTTTAATATACAGTCGTCTCTCCATATAATCACGCAGTTAGACGCACACTTTTGGTGGCGTCATTATTAACAAAACAAACGAAAAGGAAATAATGGTAGATTTAAGGTGTAACACTGCATTAATTTCTACTGTCTTGAAAGATACAAGTTACAACTAAGTCTAATCTTCAATATCTGTTATGGAAGCTTATACAAATGACATCAGAATGGAAGTTTATCCAATTCCTAAGCCAGACTGTGATATTTACCAACCAACTCTACTAGGAAAGCTATGAATCCGGTGCGCGAAAAATTGATTACACGTGAATATGGACAATTTCACAAACACCCATGTAGAATTATTCGTTACTCTCCGGACAATGAGATTTTTAAAAAAAATGTGTGAAAGCGAACGCATCAAAGTTCTGGAATATCGAGATGGAACCGTGTGTCTGTTTTTTCTAATTTACCGTCGAGGTAAGAATTAGTATTAGTGAATCTAAAACATTTGATTTCTAATTATTTGATAAACAATGCTTTATTTTTCAGATTGGATTTGGAACCATTGATGCAAGAAGGCGAGATAGTATCATGGATGCTTCGCCGTAGGAATATGCATTTTGACCACGAAGCATTTTATTCACAAGGGTTTTTGCTTGTTGAAATCCACCATTTTCACCATTCCAAATTGCAGCAGGAATATTTGAAGTTGTATAGTGTCTTTTAGAATTTTACAAGATAATTTGTTAATAAATTTTCTGGGAGTTTTTTTTTGCAAAATCTTCAATTGCCGACGATTGTCAAATTATTATTCATTCGGGTTTTGAATTTTATCAATTTCGATAAATTTCATATAACAACTTTTTTCAAAAATTAGTTTTACCAAGTTCATTAGCTAAGACGCAGTATTTTAGCGATGCATATACTAATGATTCTCATAATACACACATTGCGAAAAGAATATTAATGTGTAAAAATTTCGCTAATATGCGTTTGCTTTATTATTGATGTCTATCTATTCAAAAAAATTACAATAAACCGCAATCTGAACATAATTCAGCCTGAAAACTATATTTGGAATATGAAAGTAAATTTATTTGTCACTTTCTTTTTATTGCAAAGGTTTCATATAATAAATGTCTTAAGAGAATGTAAAATCAACTTCTTAATTAATGTCTAATAAAAAATAATGGAGTAGTGCATGAATCAAAATCTACAAAAAAAAACTTTTGTCTGATTACACGAAATTAAAATATTCAAATTGTTTCTATTTATTTAATTATTATTAAATAAATTGAAGAATTTAAATAAATAGTTGATTGCTTATAGCATCTGTATTAATAGCAGAATGAATTTGGTTTTCATTTTTATTATTATTATTATTTTATTAGAAGTGAAAGCTATGTGATTCTCATTTCGGTCCATTTAAGAACTATTAGCTGCATATACTAATTTAAGTATAATTTAAATTATCAACCTACCCGAGCACACCTTCACAATGGTGTCATCTTCCTAAACTCAAATTGAAATAGAAGAATACATAACTGATGATATAACAGAGAAGGTTTTAAGTCGCCAGCTTGGTGCTACTGACATTTTTGAGTTAGAACGTCTTAATAAATTAACAGGATTTGTAATAGCAAGTTTCAAATCCCATTATAATGGTAAAGATGTTTCTAGCATTAAGAAGCTAGATCATTTAACAAAAGATATCTTAATATCATCAAGAAGCAGAAAAAATATTGCAAATAATTTGAATGTAAATTATTTTTATTTGATACATATATCTCTTTTTAATGGATAAATTTTTAACACAATTATATTTATTTTTTTATAAAAAAAATGATTTTATTTAATAAATAATAATTGAGGAAAGGTGGTTTTTTTACAATAAAAAAAATTTTTTTTTAATTATTAATAATAAGAGGTTTTTTTTACAAAAAAAAAGTTTTTAATTCATAATAATTGGGATTTTTTTATATTAAAAAAAGTTTTTTAAATTAGTAATAATAGAAGGATCTTTATTATATTAAATCTTTTTTTGTGATTTGGCTTTGTGAATAAAAGAAGGTTTGCTAATTTGAAGATTATATGATTTTAGCAAAGGGTAATGCTTATATACATTTTTGCAATCATAGTGTAAAGAACATAATTACACTTAGATAATCCTGATAAATATAATAAAAGATAATTACCAACATATAGAAATCATAATTGAAAAAAAAACAAGCT